ATCATGTATATATATATATATGCTATAATTTTTGTTTAAGTTATATTTAAAGTAGAATGTATAGGCTATATTTTTTGTTTAAGTTATATTTAAAGTAGAATCAAATTATCAAAATAGGGTATCAGGACAGAATTAAGAGGGAGGAAATAATTCCAAAAGTATTAGAACAACATAGAAGTTACTATTTGACACCTTAACGTTTAGATTTTTAAGTGTCTTATTATTATATTGTCATAATCATCAGTTGAAAGACAAGGTGAAAGTAGGGGAAAATTTTAGACAAAAGCTCTACCGTTCAAGCCTGAGTCGATTCACTTGCTCCTCCTTTATTGCGGCAGATGTCTTTCAAAACATTACTCGCTCCACCTGCCCACTGCCAGCATTATCATTTGCTTCCATAATGAGGAGTTCAATGCACTGCTCCGGACGGTGTCCAGTGTGGTGTACCTCACACCGCCTCATCTGCTTGAAGACATCATTTTGGTGGATGACATGAGCAAGTTTGGTAAGATCAGTGGCAACTGTCCACCCTGCTTGCAAGGTGGTCCTTGCCTGGTAGGCTGAGCTCTTTCTACAAGGTTGCCCTTGGTGGGCGTGGAGACAGATGTGGAGCTGGATGCACTTGGTGTGCCTATGGGGACAACACAGAGCACCCGGTCCCTGTCCTGATGGGACCCCTGCAAGGCCAATCTGGAGTCCCAACCCTGTCTTTCCATACTGCTTTGGAAGAAGTGAGGTGTAAATGAAAGATGGGAGGATGACTTGCAGTTATCCTGCTGGAGAGGATGGAAAGGTGTGTTAGTAGAGGAGGCGCCTCGTAGAGGCTGAGGATTGAGGCAGCATAGCACGTTTTGGCTACTTCTGGGCTGCACGTGGCTTGTGCCTGAGCGTGGAGCTGTAGGGCGAGGGGTGGGCGGGCATAAAGTCAGAGGCATTAGAAAGAAGCAACTGGGGGCTGGTGAGATGGCTCAGTGGTCTAAAGCACCTACTTGGAACAGGCTTAGCAAAGCACAGGGACCGCGGTTCAATCCCCCAGCACCACATGCCAGCCAGCCCCGCCCCCTGGTGGGCTGAGCTGGCCACACACACACACACACACACACACACACAAATAAATAAAATTTAAAAAAAAAAAAAGAAAGAAGCAACTGGAAGGGGCATCGTTATCTCACAAACATGCACAACTGTTTAGGCAATGACCCGATCCAGGCGTACTCTACGTGAAAGAGCTCTAACTGAGCCAACAAATAGCTAAGTGCTTATTCTTCTAGGCTTATTGGGTTTTTTGGGGGTTTTTTTGTTTTTTTCTTTTTGTGGAAACGGGAATTGAACTCAGGCCCTTGCGCTTGCCAGGGAAACGCTTATTCCATTGAGCCATCTCCCCAGCCCCTTTAGGCTTATTGGTTTTAAGGGACTTGTGGTACAAGCACAAAATCCAGTCACGCACCCTCAGACTACAATCAGTTGGTCTGTTTTTCCATCGGAGTGTGGACCTTAAGTAGCCAGCAGGGCCCAAGCAGTGACACAGTCTCGGATAGCCGGGAGCCAGAAGAGAGAAGGGCAGGGAGGGAGACACCCCGAAAGTCCACCCTGCAGGGAGGGAGCTGGCTGGCTCTGCAGTGTGACTCGGTTGATGTCGCTCCTTTGGGATTTTAGATGCTGCGGGTGGCTCCTGTCACGCATTCGCATCACTCCCGGGGCCTCGCCCGCAGCGGAAGGCACAGGCCTGCTGACCGTTTCCAGTCTTGGCCGTGAGAAGGCTGTCCTGCCTGGCTCTGTTGCTCACAGCGTTGAGTGTGTTGGGGAAGAAGTCACAGTAAAGCCCCACGCAGAGAAAATTTATTGGTGGAACGAAAGCTTCTGTCTGAGAGAGGGAGAGAAGGGGACCCAAGCGGGTTGCCCAACAAATAGTTATTTTTCACACTTCTTAAAAGTGGTGAGTCTGAGACCAGGTACCCATAACATCAGGTTCTTGCAGAGGGTCCTCTTTTTGGCTGGAGGCAGATGTGTTTTTTGCTGTGTCCTCACATGGCAGAAAGAAATCAAGTGAACTATCTGGCCTTTTCCTTTAAAGGCACTAATCCTGTTTCTGTGGGCCCCACCCTCATGATCTAATCCTTCCTCAAGGCCCCACCTCCAAATACTGTCCTACTGGAGATTATATTTTGATAAATGTGGGCTGGGGAGATATCTCAGTGGTCTACGCACCTGCCTGGCAAGCACAAGGATCCGGGTTCAGTCCCTGGTTCAGTGTGTGGTGCAGGCCCCAGAACCCTGGGTGCTATGCCAGCCACCAAAACTGGATGGGGTGGTGCACACCCGTAATCCCAGTGCTGGAGAGGCTGAGACAGGAGGATCACTATGAGTCTGAGCTGTGTAGCGAGACCCTGCACCAAATAAATAAATAAATAAATAAATCATTTTTAAATTAAATTTTTTTTTTCATTCCCTAATCTCAGTCACTGCTCATACACTCATTGTGCATTTTGGTCCTTTTTATAAGAGGCTAGCAGGGCCAGTGAGTGTGCTGCCTGAGCAGGGAGGTGCTGCCAGGCAGCCTGCACCCCTCCCTGAAGGGCCTGGCACCCTTAAAAATGAGGAAAAGAACCCCGGCTTCTGCCACAGCTTCCGTGGAGCTGTGTCCACCGCTCCTCCTGGGACTTGGGATGTAGAACTCAGTGGAACCTGTGGCTATCTCCCCGGTCTCAGCCCCCAAATAGTGAGCGACTGTATGGTATCAGGGTCTTAGAGGGCTGCCAGGACCATGGTGGGAAACCCTGCTCTCAGATGAGGACTTCAGGGCACAAGTAGAATGAATACTGCCCTAAGAAGTTAGGGTGGTCGCTGCACAGTGAAAAGCATTGTGATCACAGCGCAAGACCAGACTGCACCAGTGCGCTCCACCCTCACGCGTGCTTTTCCAATAGAGTGTTAATAGGGATTTTTAAAAGCAGAGACATTTCGCTACAAGCATAGGAATTTCTTTTTTTAAAGTTACACCTTCCGGGGACCGGGGAGATGGCTCAGTAGAATAAGTGCTTCTCTGGCAAGCGCAAGGGCCTGAGTTCAATCCCTGGTTCCACCAAAAAAAATAAAAATAAAAATAAAAAAATAAAGTTACACCTTCCGTGTAATGGCCTGGCTTTTAAGAATCATGTATAATGATAAATTGCTTCTATCCTTACAGTTTATAAATTGTCAAATATTGTTTGCTTTTTCCCTAGTTGATTTGAAAGAAAAGCTCGATTATTATCTGGAAAGTTTTCGGGGAAAGGTTAAGTTGGTAAGAAACAAAAAGAGAGAGGGGCTGATTCGAGCCAAGATGATTGGAGCAGCATATGCCTCAGGTATGGATGTGGCCCGGGGCGTGGCGGTGTGGCTGGCCTTGGGTGTCCTGGGCCTCTCGGATGCCTTCCCTGGGGCTGCAGGCCCGAGCCGTTAATCCTACCTCGTTTCATCTGTTCGCTGTTTCAAATGGAAGATTCTTTTGCAAGGGTCATGAGGTGACCCTGTCATAGGCAGAGCTCCCTGGACTCAAACACTGATTTGGCGTTTTGGGTGCTGAAAATCCCGGGCACCCACTGGGACTGGGCAGAGGGGGGCCTGGGGCTCGGGACGGGGTCCCTCTGTTCTGTAGGCAGAGATGCCGACCTCCACGCACTCCCCAGCCCCTCGTTCCCACGCACAGTGTGTATGCCCACAGGGGTAGTTACTCTTTCTCTGCACTGATTTTTCGTATTTGCCGTCTTATTCTTATAGCATAATGGTATGGCTTGTTCATTTTGCTAACAAGCTACATAAGATTGATGATCTGCATTTGAAAAGTCACATAAAATTATTCTATAAACTGCCCAGGCACTGGGAACCTTTTATAGTTTCCCTTTTAATTCATGTATGTTTAAAATGAAATTTAAAGTTTCTAAACCTAAGGAAAAAAATAAACATAAGGGATCTTTAAAATGGTCTCTTCCTTATTTCTAGCTGAATTGTACTGGGCCTGGAAGTTGGCATTTCCTGTGTGTCTTAAACAGAGATCCATTGCCCAAAATATCTCTGTATACCTAAAGAGAATATATATATTTTCTTTCTGTGGTTATAGTTTCTATATGTACCTTTAATTTTCTTATATAAAACTGAGAACTTATCCATTCATCTGTTCTTACAGTTTTGCCTCTGCTATCATCTACATAATTACCTGCGTCTACTACCACTCGACCTACCTACCTTTCTATCTACCTCTCTACCTACCTACCTCTCTACCTACCTGCCTATCTACCTACCTACCTACCTCTCTACCTACCTACCTGCCTATCTACCTCTCTACCTCCCTACCTCTTTTCCTACCTACCTCTCTACCTACCTACCTCCCTCCCTCCCTACCTCTTTTCCTATCTACCTACCTACCTGCCTACCTCTACCTACCTACCATCTACCTCTCTACCTACCTACCATCTACCTCTCTACCCTCCTACCTACCTCTCTACCTACCTACCTCTCTACCTACCTAGCTACCTACCTGCCTACTTCTACCTACCTACCATCTACCTCTCTACCCTCCTACCTACCTCTCTACCTACCTAGCTACCTATCTCCATACCTACCTACCTACTTACCTCCCTCGCTCCCTTTTTCCGTCCTTCTCTACCTCCCTCCGTTTTTCCCTCCCTCCTTCCCTGTCCCCTGGGCCTCCTGTTCCCCACCACTCCAGTGAGTGTTGAGGGGCTGCCTGAGCCACGCACTCCCAGTCCCAAGCTGTGCAGTCCTATTGTGTGGTCAGGAGAGGAAGCAGCCAGTGACCTATTATTAATGTATTCATTAATTCATTTGTTCAATCAGTGATTTACTTGTCACCTACTGTGTGCAGTCTATGTGTATTTATTCTTTTTAACTTCTTTTTTATCATTCCTCAGGGAACACAGATTATAGGAAATAAACCATACCCACGGGGCCCGCGTGGGGGCTCTCACACAGCGTTGGCAGGTGCATTCCATTTGAAGTTGTCGCCTTGCTGAGCCGCTTGCATTATTAGACTGTGACTGTGTTTCCAGTATGGCCTCGCAGAACTTGTCCCTGCACTCCCATACCTGGTTACTTCCTGCCTCCTGGCCTGCCTGCCTGCCTGCCTGCTTACTTTTTCTTTTTCTGTCTTTTCTCTGTGAGACAGCGCCTCACTATGCAGCTCAGGCCGGCCTGGCACTCACTTTGGAGCCTGGGGCAGTGCTCAGCCCCCAGAGTGCTGGGGTTACAGGGCGCACCCCCACTCAGGGCCCTGACCCCTGGCTTCTCCTCAAGCCAAGTGTGCGCCACGCCACAGAGCTGCCGGTTTCCTCAGCCGGGATGCGTTCCCGGCCCCCAGCGGTTGCCTGGAACTGCAGAAAGTGCCAAGCCACGGCCTGGTGTGTACCCTCCACAAGCATACCCCTCCCTGTGCTGAGAAACGGCACCAGGCCACGGCCCCGGGTTTCGGGCCGCAGCGCCTCCCTTGCAGCACCTGAGCTCAGGCTTGGGCCACTGTGAAGTAAGATAGGGCCCCTGGAGCCCCAGTACCACTTGGGACACCAGGACAGCCAGCCTGAAACTCAAGACACTATAGTGACTAACAGGCAGGTGGCACTGACAGCAGGGACAGCCCGGCAAGGGGCAGAGCAGGACCATGGGAAACCTGGCCACACCATTCAGAAATTTTTGAGACCTAAAACATGAATTGCTTATTTTTGTCATTTTCCCTTTAATATTTTCAGACTGCAGCTGACCACAGAGAACGGAAACCACAAAAAGTCAAACCTCAGAGCAGGGAGGCACAAATGTCTGCTCCTCCTGATCTTTCCTCCTTCTTTGTGTCTAAGGCTGCCTGTCTGTCGGTCTGTCTCTCTGTCTGACTACACAGTCAGTCTGTCCAGGCAGCTCGGATGCTGTGACCAGTGCGGGAGCTGAAGCGCAGTCCTGGAACAAGCTGTGTTTGGGATCTGCGGGAAAAGGAGGCAAATGACTCAAAGTCTGACCTCAAGATAGAGAAGCAGAGAACAATGTATTGTTTACAAGAGAGGGCCAGGGAGATAGTACAGTGGCACAAGCGCCTGCCTGGCAAGCACAAGGTCCTGAGTTCAGTATACACACACGCATGCACACATGCACACATACACATACACATACACACTACATGTATATACGTATATATTGTGTATATATATATTGCATATATATATATTGCTTATAGGAGCCAGGGGAGCCTGGGCTGGGGGTGACTTCCAAAATGGGGTCTCCCCAGGTCAAGGCAGGAAGGGGAGTCATGCATATGCACGGTGCACGTTCCTGTGTGCACTCTCATCAGAATAACCTTCATAAGCACGTGTTTTTACTATTATTATTATTATTATTATTATTATTATTATTATTGGGTCTTTTTGAGACAGTGCCTCGCTACGCAGTTCAGGCTGGCCTTGAGCTCACTTTGTAGCACAGGCTGTACTTGAACTCAAACAGCCTCAGCATCCTGAGTGCTGGGATTACAGGCGCCTACCACCATGCCTGGCCTAAGCACACGCTTCTAACAGTAGAGAAAAGCAGTTTCATGAGACAATCTCTCGGGCCTGGGTAGACCGGGACAGTATGAGATGACACCAAGCAGGGTCCAGCCTAGCTCCCTGGAGCGCACACCGCACTGAGGCCCGGGCTCCTGCAGAACCTGTGCCCGCAGGTCTGCGGGACGTGGCACCCAGGCAGTGGGAGGGCTGCAACACGAGGGAGCTTGGCTCGGGGCCCCCGGCCCTAGGCCGCCTAGAAGGGGGGCTGGGCAACTTGGACTGCTTTCAATCAGCCCCGAGGTCTTCTCTCGGAAGGCCTCATCTGAAACAAGAACTACCTTGAGTGGCTGTTAGCAGCTGGCAGCTTCTTCCCCCAACCGTAGGTACTTGATATTGGTGGCTAACCTCGCCTCCATATTTGTGTGCGTGGCCGTGGGGATTCTACCCAGGGCCTTTGTGTGTAGGCGAGCATGCTCCCATGCCACTACATGCCTAGCCCATTTTCTTTTTAATTTAATTTTTTGGTTTTTGGTTTGTGTGTGTGTGTGTTTTTTTTTTTTTTTGCAGAACTGGGGATTGAACTCAGACCCTTGCGCTTGTCAGGCAAGCACTTATTCTACTGAGC